GTTCTGTAGTTTTGAGTATTGTATGATATTCACAAGTCCGGGGGATAAACAAAACTTTATTCGTCTTTTAAAAGTAAGAATGTATGCTAAATATGGTTTTGTTCTAGACACGGGGGAGTTCTGTAGTTTTGAGTATTGTATAATATTCACAAGTCCGGAAGATAAACAAAACTTTATTCGTCTTTTAAAAGTAAGAATGTATGCTCAATATGGTTTTATTCTGGACACGGGGTAGTTCTGTAGTTCTGAGTATTGTATGATATTCACCAAACGATAATAGTGGAACATTGGGAGTCAAATACTGACCGTATTATAAGGGTATGCGCTTTAACGGGGTTCTACTATATTAGACAATGCTGTCATATTCCGAAGAATAGTGATGAATAGATAAGACATGCGCAGTCAATCCAATGTCTTGGATCATAGCGTATATGCAATATAATTGTCTAGTAGGTGTGGTATCGTTGCAATGGGTACATCCAGCCCAAAAGAGCGCTCAGCTTCGCTAAGTAGCCGCAGGAATTTTTCCTATGGGTGCACCCATTACATAGAAACCCAAACGTTTTTGCCAACAATGCATTGCATTCAGTCTTCTTTAACTTAAAAAAAAACAAAAAAAAACGTTATGCAATTTTCCTTCTTGAAATAACACTACTTCATTGGAATTTTTTAGTAATTTTTGCTTTTATATAAAACATCATCAAAGAAGTCTTAGAAGTCTTTATCAAACAACGAAAACAATATAAATAACAAAACGTTAATTAACTTTATCACGATGCGATAAGTGAGCCTAAGGTTCTAACTTTTGTATCTAAGTCTAAGGTGAGGACATAGTGTGGAATCACATAGCTTAGGCACAAGTGCATAAAGTTATGTGAAAGTGTTAAATGTCTATCCAGCGAAGCTGAAAACAAAGCTATTGGTTTCTTAATTTATGTCCGAGATGGTTATAAAGGTTTGTTTGGAATTTCTTAAAGACACTATCGTATTAAATATAACAGCTCCAGAAAGAAAACGTTAGTTAGTAAGAAAAAGAAAAGACAATGAGTGACACGACAAAGTCCAAAAAGTTTACCGAAAATTAGGATAACTGAAATGTATGCTAAAAACTTTTTCCCTGTCTTATTTCGAGTTAATAAACAAGGCAATAATATAAAAATAATAATGTGCTCTTTTTTTCGTTTTTAGAACTGACTGATTGGAAATAATAATAGCAAAAACTTAAAATTACTTACAACGTTTAGAAACAATCTATTGTCTGTGGCAATAGTTGAGGTACGTAGCGGCGAATTATGGCTTGTAGTATACGCCCATGAGCCAGAGTAATCATACGACATTAAATTTATAAAATCCACATAACTGCAAGAAAGCAAGACTTAATATATGAGCATTTTGTTTCATGTCAAAGCAATTGATTTGAACATTACCGTTAAAAATCTATGAAAGTGATCCACAAGTTATTTCATAAAATTTCCTACCTTTGTAAACTATAATGACAACATTTGATGAGCTTGTTTTTTGAAATAGAATGTCTTAGAATCTGAAACCAGAATAAATTGTAACTGTTCGAGTTTACGTCTTAAATAAACAGTGAAATATTAACATCAAAATTCATCAAAATGTTAGCTGACTCTACACTTAAAATAGAAAACAAGAAATATAACCATAAAACAAATAAATCAAAGATTTTTCAGCAGTAATTTTTTTCATTCATTCACTCGAAAGTTCAACATTGTGTTTACCTATTTTTGTTGTTGTTTATCAACAGAATTTAGTGAAAATATGTATATCATTGAATTTTTACTAAATACTTATTGAGCACATATCAATTTTCACAAACCACAAGTGTAACATTAAAGTTGATCACTGTTATTAAGGTTAATAATTAGTTATTTATAGTTGTATTATGTTTGGCGAATTGTTTTTAAATGTTGTTGTTAAAACCTAATGTAAAACCAACACAGTTATAAATATTTTAGAATTAAACCTTTTTTGTGTGTTTTTATTGTTATTCTGAAAGTAAATTACTTATTCTCCACTTTTATATTTCAGTTGGTTAATAATTCAACAATGATCGAAAGTATTTTAAATACCAAATATTTTTATTTTACCTTACAAGGGCGGGAATGTCGTAAGAAACATCAATGGTAGATTTGATTGCCGAAACTGCGACTGTCAGGAGTAATCCATATTGGTTCAGTTCTTCTCTTAGTCTCTGTAAGGATATAATTGAAATCAGATACTGCTAGCTTCTCAACTTACAGCTTACGTTTATGATTTGGTATATGTTTATGTTTGTCTGCTTTCAGTTTTTCAACAATGTATAGCACCATTATCAAATCAGATACTGCTCGCTTCTCAACTTACAGCTTACGTTTATGATTTGGTATATGTTTATGTTTGTCTGCTTTCAGTTTTTCAACAATGTATAGCACCATTATGAAATGCAGAGTAACATTCTTTAGTTTGATTTTGTAGTCGAAATACTTTCACTATCAATTGTTTTGTGCTTGAATTTATACTTGGAAAAAATTACCTCGAGATCATATTCCGTTATTAAATTTGCCAGTTTTGACAGTTTTGGACCAGTACATGCATAACCGCTGTGACATCATCAACTGGCTGTCTGCATATGACGATTTCCCAACCTATGAACACGTGTCTGGTGAAGAGAGTTTCATAACGTGACCACGCAACAAGTAACAGCACCAAATCCAAAGTTCACCAAGGAAAAAAGACTTCCCAGCTCCACCTCAGGTCACTAAAGCAATGGAATACTTTAAAGCTAGTCATCAGTGACTTGAAAGCCAGCCAAGATACTGACAGTACAAGCGTCCTGCAGCTAAGAAGCGTACTATACTTTGCTCGTAGACAGGAATCAGTTGTAATGAGTCAATCAACGTTAGACGAGTTCTTTGAAAAAATAAACAATGGATTTTTTCAAGTTGTTGTTGTTGTTCTTTGTTTAGTTTTCTTTTAACGGTGAACCTTCGTTAGTTTGGTTACAAACAATTCTAATTATTCACAATCTAGAAGATTAACCAAGTATGATTTAATAATTCGTACTCGACTTCACGAGAGTCAAGTCCCTCACTGAAATCTTTGGTAATTCTTACTTTGCTTTTATCTACAATTCAAAATCAAACAAGTCTTTATCAAACATCTACAAAAAATATAACAAAATATTAATTAACTTTATCACAATGCTATAAGTGAAACCAAGGTACTACGTTTTTGTAATTAAATCTAACGTGAGGACGTAGTATTGATTCACATAGCCTAGGCCCAAGTGAATAAAGTTTCTCATGAAATAAAATATATCAATTCAGTCTTAAATCTAGGTCGTTCCTGAATTCAACTGTTTTGTTGTTATATTTCCGAAGTTAAAAATAGAAACAAACCGTTTTAATCAACGCAGACACTAAGTTAAAAACTCAACAAACATTTTTCAGTTTTGCTGTCTAGACATTTCATTTTTACACTTTCAGTACATAGATTAACAACGATATCAGGTCATACCTTAACAAACCACTCTATAACATCCCATAATAGTTAAGAAAAACACTATAGTATCCAATAATACTTTAAAAAATATTATTTTAACACCCAATAATACTTAAAAACATTTCTATAACGTCCTGTAATAGTTTAAAAAAACATTCTCTAACATTCCATAATAATTAAATCACTCTTTAACATCCCATAATAGTTAAAAACCAATCTATAATATACATAATTCTAAAAAAAACCATAAAAACCATTATTGGAACGCAGCGTTACGAAAAGATAGACATTGATGTTTAGATATACAGTGGAATCCTGTTATAACATGATTCTAGGGGTCCACGAAATGCGATCGTGTTAAATGTGGGGTCGCGTTATTTCGGAGTACCCACAAAAAAACAAGAAAAACACAAAGTTACATAAAAAACCGTAATAACATGTAAAGTGTCTTTTATGTTATTTTTGAGGCGTTATTGCTTCAAGCAAAAGACAATGCATTTCATTTAATAAATGTTTTGTTTTGATATATAAGTTGTTCATCTAAAAACAGCGGCATTAATTTCTTGACTGGGGGGCAATACATGAGCTAAATTTGTAAATTAGTCCTCTAAATCATTCTATTGAAAGTGTCACTTTGAACTAAATCATATATAAACGAACTTTCTTCTGTTATTCATGAGCTCTTATACTGGAAAATACAGAGATAAAAATAACGCTTTATGGAATATGTATGACATTGTTATTCTAGAAACACTCGCCCAATTTAATATTTATGCGAAAAAAAAATCGTAAACTGAAAAGTTTCTTGGAAAACTAAAATTTGTGGAATCTACTTTTTAATTTTTTAAAAGTAGTTTATGTATCGCTACTTCATACAGAATAATTTCAGTACTTGACATGAACAATTCTCAAAAAACTGGTTGAGTTAGAATATATTACCTTCACTGAACTATGTGTTACTCTTAGGTTGGATCAGCGGTAACTTTATGGACATACAACACTAAAATTTTGGGTTCGATTACCCGCGATGGTTAGAGCGCAGATAACCTATTGTGTATCTTTGCACTAAAACAACAACAGCGACTAAATATGCCTGAGCGGTGAGTATTTATAATGCGCAACTTCAAAATTATACACGAAGTCCTTATTTCGACAGTGAAGTCAATAAAGGTTCAGCTTTGTATCTATATTTGAAATTGATTTTACAGTCACTGTCGCTAACACTGTAAGTAACAGAGATAGTCGATAATACAGTCACTAAATTTACAGGAAAGAAACCCTGGTTGCTCAGCAGTAAGTCTGGGGGCTTATAATATTAAAAATCGAATTTCGATAACCGCTGTGGGCAGAACACAATTAACACATTATATAATTCCGCGCTTAACAACAAACAAACCAAAATATAAAAAAGTAACTTTTCAAGAACGATGTAAATAGAATTTACGCAAAGTAATGTAAAATATATACTAACATTTAGGAAAATCCGCTAGTACACCTGAAAGTGTACATTTTTGTTTGTTTTAAATTATTACATTTGCTTATAAATTTCCTATTATTGTGAACAAAATAACTGTTACAAAACTAAAAACTGTGTATAATGATTCATGGTTAATTTAAAAAGTCATATTATTATCGAGTCCTACAAGATTCTAAATAGCCAGTATCTACAAAATTCTACAGAAGTCTCCAAGGTTGAAAGTATGCCTTCAAAAATTACCTTTGTTATAGAATTCTAAATAATGACACTTCAACCTAAGACCTGCAAGGTAATATTCTTAAAGGCTTTTGAAATAGTTTTAAAATTAACTTCCATATGACAACAACTAAACAATCTTAAAGAATACATACCATTAAAATATATTAATATTATTTTGAACAATCTTTATACAATTACAAAAAAACAAACAGAGCATTTATGCAATTGTTTAGATCAAATCTGCTATAATAATAATAATAATAATTAAAGCACTGAACTTTCTCGCACTTTCAGCCGTGGGGGTGTTATAATGTTATAGTCAATCCCACTATCTGTTAGTAAAACTGTAGTCCAAGAGTTGGCATTGGATCGTGTTGTCTAGCTGCCCTCCCTCAAGTCTATCACTGATAAATCAGAGGTGGCTAGCGCAGCCAGCCCTCGAGTAACTTCAAAACAAAACAAACTAATAACTAAATAAAAGGTACATTTAATCTAGACAGGGTATTTATACAGATTCACATAAATTTAAAGAATGGAACTCTGATTGGTTCTACAAGATTCTGGGTGATTTATCTTTAGAAACGTCTATAAAAGCCTTTCACGTTTCAACTTAAAACTGCTTTTATAGAACTGAGTTTTTACAAAGTAAAATTAAACCAGAAGAGACCTGTTTAATATTGTTTTTCAAAAACATGTTATTGTTTAAATATTTCAGGAACATAATAAACTGATGCAACATAAATACTTTATTATTTAAAAACTTGCCCAGCATGGCCAGGTGGTTACAAAACTCGACTAGCAATCTGAGGGTCGAATTCCCATCCCACCAAACATGCTCTCCCATTCAGCCATGGGGCGTTATGCGTCAGTCAGTCCCACTATTCGAAGGTAAAAGAGTATCCCAAGAGTTGGCGGTGGGTGGTGATGACTAGCTGCCTTCCTTTTAGTCTTTCACTGCTATATTAGGGATGGCTAGAGCAGATAGCCCTCGTATAGCTTTGCACGAAATTCTAACACAAACAAATTTAAAGATTTACGCTTCATACAGATCTAATTATATTTCTACAGAAGATGTAAAATTTCGATAAAGATTATGTATAATCCTTATAGAAATTATAGAATTCTATCAGTTTCTTTAGGATTCTTTAGATTTTCTAAATGGCTTTTTCTTATGAGAATTTATCGTATTACTTTAAGAAGAAATACTGAAGAAAGAAAAAGAACGACTTTAACTACACCACGCTTTTTATTGCGGGGAACCTTATGCGACCTCTAAGAAAAATAACTTGAATTATATATATACATATATATAAAGTAATGAGACGTAAAGTTTTTGTATCTTATCTTTATTTTGTTTAAATGTTAAAAGTTTAAAATGTTTCGCATTCTATCGTATACTACGGAGAGCTTGTATGAAAAGTGGAATGAAGCTCACTTCGTTAAACGCCAAAATACCAGGTTGACCTAAAAAGGGTCCGGCTCTTCCTGGACCAGAAGCAGGTGCACCAATACCGTTCATTTGTGGATCTTGAAGAGTGAAAGTTCTGCCATAAAAGGGTATACCTAAGACTAGCTTACGCGAAGGTGTGCCAAGCTCAATCCAGTAATTGACAGAAAACTCCTGTGATAGAAAAACAAACAAAAATCATTATATAAGCGAGTGACAGTTTATTATTAATTAATAATTTATAGTAATCGAGTGCGGGCAGTCTCCATTCTTATCGATGATGCTTTTCCATCTTACAATCAGGTTGTTAATACCATGATTAAAGAAATCACTTGGCTTTGAAGCAAAAACATGTCAATGTCCTCTTAACACCTTCTACATTTGCATATGTTTTCCCATTAAGATGGTGTTGCAGTAAACAAAAAAGATGGTAATCTGATAGTGCCATATCTGGAGAATATGATGGGTGGGGGAGAACTTCCCAATCCAACTCCACAATCTTGTGTTGCATCAAACATGCCACATGTGGATGTGCATTGTTGTGGAGAAGAACACCTTTCCGATTAATGAGTAAAGTGCATTTTTGATGACGGGCTTGATTTAAATGTTCCAGTTGCTGACTATAGGTCTCTGCATTGACAGTTCGCTGTGGATCGAGGAGTTCTAAATGAATTACTTCTTTGATGTCCCACCAAATGTAAAGCATCACTTTCTGCAGATGGAGTCCAGGTTTTGGGGTTGGAAGTGGTTTTTGTCTGGGACTGAGCCATTGTTTTTGGTGTTTAATAATCACATGAAGAATCCATTTTTCATCACCGGTGACAAAGCAATGTTCACATGTTGGAAACAATGATCATAGGAGAGTTCATGAGGCACCCAAAAATATTCTTTATGAAGTTTTCCCATATTCCTTAAATGTTTATGTATTTTTTCATGAGAGACATTAAATTTCAGGGCCATTTCATGAGTGTGTTGCCTTGGGTTAGACTCAGCAAGCATCTTCAGAGTATCAATATGAATTTCAGCATGTCAGCCCCCTGCCATCACAGTTTTTAAGGCTAAAAGTCACCTGAACTAAATTTGCTGAACCATCGTT